CTTCCTATTATACACCATATCACACCACCTTCCTATTATACACCATATCACACCACCTTCCTATTATACACCATATCACACCACCTTCCCATTATACACCATATCCCACGTCCTTCCCATTATACACCATATCACACCACTATTCCTATTATATACCATAACACACCACTATTCCTATTATATACCATAACACACCACTATTCCAATTATGCACCACATTACACCACTATTCCTATTATACACCATATCCCACGTCCTTCCCAATATACACCATATCACACCACTATTCCTATTATATACCATAACACACCACTATTCCTATTATATACCATAACACACCACTATTCCAATTATACACCATATCACACGTTATTATACACCATAACACACCACTATTCCTATTATGCACCATAACACACCACTATTCCTATTATGCACCATAACACACCACTATTCCTATTATGCACCATAACACACCACTATTCCTATTATACACCATATCACACCACCTTCCTATTATACACCATATCCCACGTCCTTCCCATTATACACCATGTCACACGTCCTCCCTATTTTAAACCACACCTCACCATTATTTCTATTAAACACAACTTGTTATGTAGAGGAACATTTGTATAAAAGTCATTAAACATTACAACATTTTCTTCACCATATCCGCTAACCTCCCATCCCTGGAAAATGTATTTATCTCCATTTAATTCTATTCATGAAGATAATAATCCACCATGAATGTCAAACTTTCACAAGTTTACGTGTAGTTCGCCATGAATATCAAACCTTCACAAGTTCGTGTATAACTCTATGTTTTCAGGTATCAAGCAGTTTTAAGATCTCTTTATCAGGACACTGGTCGGTCCGGTCCCTATCAGTGAAAGTGGGTTTTCACATATACATTAAATTTAAAACATTGGATCTGCAGATCCCAGCCATGGTAACATTCTCGTGGTGTTAACATTTTACTACGAAGATCCCACTTAAGCAAAATCCACCTTTACCAAGTGCGAAGAAAGATTGAATAATCTTCGAGAACCTGGATGTTTGGCTGTCTGAATGTAAAACGTCGAACATATAACATTTAAATTGATTGGATAGGATTGGCTTAGCGTGGATGGTAGGGCGCTGGTGGCTAGTTTTCTTACCTTTGACGGCAACAGATAGTCTTAGTAACTTTGTTATAAATAAAAGATATAAAAAACAAATAAATAAACAACCCAGAATTTGTTTCTAATATGTGCAAATGACTGATAAAGATTTAACTAGAGAACTTTAAGAAAAGACACGTGGGTGAATAGGACGTTAAGTTAGATTAATAGGTCTACCTTTATATTACTGGAACCACGATGTTGACTGAATATTTTTTGTAATATTACTTTCACTTACAAAAAAGTTCCTGTTGTTACCACTTTAGAGTGGGTAAGGTGAGATGTTAATAAAAAATATATATTTATTATTTGAAAAAAATAGTGAAATGTATTAGAACCTACTGGAACCGCACGGTTTCTTCTGGAACACCCGTTTCATTCTTAATAGTTTTGTATTCCTCGTTGATAAATTACAGGCCCTCTTGTGGCAGATTTTTAGAGATTCCGAATAACGAAGTATATCTGTTATAGGCTCACAACGTTTACTACTAACGTGACCGAGTGTCTGCTATATATATATATATATAAATCTACTGTTTTGGATGGCCAGGAGGTTAATTAAATATATATATATTTTAATTGATTTCTATTAGTTTTTATAGTATTGCACATTTATTGTTGTGTAAATAGAACGACTTATCTACTGAATCTTTTGGCTTTGCTGTTCGCGAGGAACTTTAATAATGTGATGGTTTGTTGTTTATATTCTATTAGTTTTTTATCTATTAGTTTT